ATCAGTTACTTGAAAATAATAATAAGAATGACTTCTTATCTTTGGTCATGAGCAATAAAGAGTGCTAGCAAATTGTCTTGATGGTACTGACTTCTGAATATCTTCCTTTCTTGTTTTTCTTTGGTATTGCAGACTTACTCTCAAGCAAAGATAAATGAATTGATTCTGCCTCAGTTTTTAAGCACATTGAAAAAAAAAAAATCTAGGTATGCCTACACTCAGATCAAGGGATTTATTTTGAAAAAAATATTTTCTTTCCCTTTCTATAGGGGCAACCTATATATAATTAAGGTTGCAGACTTACTTTTCAAGGACCACACTTTTCTGCCTATGTTTTTCTGTGTAAATATTCCCTGTAAAATTTAGCATTTTACTATTTAAAAATCTGCTATATATGAGGGATAGTGTTTGGAAGGAGTTACATTTTTCCAAGTTCATTCCAGTAGACATAATTATTGTCCATATAAGAGAAAACTGGTAGACATTTAAAATAAGTTCATATATTCAACAACAACAATGAAACCTCGAAGAACAAAAATTGTTCCTGATTGGATTTTGTGTTTTGTTGTGTAGGACATTTAACTTGAAAGAAGTCCTGAATTCTATTGGTGTTCAGACCTGTGTTGAGGTTAACAAGACCCTGAAGGAGAGAGGCTTATCCACTTTAAATGCTGAGGTTCAAGCTAATCTTATAGGTCAATTTTCAAGTATTGAAGAAGAAGACAATCCTATCTGGACCTTGATTGGTGAGACCTTATGTTTTTACTGGTTTCTGTTTCATTTATGTTTCCGTTAACTTGCTCCTTTTGACTGATGTTAAATGTCACCCTGCTTTTAAGTCTTAAGCATATTACCTGCTTCTTTTGAAGGATAATGTGGAAATTAGAAGAAAGTATTAAAAATGTTCAAGGTCTGGGACCTTTGTGTATATGTGACAGGATTGGGGGGATATTTCAGGGCTTTCTGTCTTATTATCCAGCTAACATGTTACGATGAAGATGACATAATGGTGCCAATACTGTTAAAATCCTTGATCAACAATATCAATAAAACAATTCAAGCCAGCCGGCAGTATGTTCCCAGAAAGGAGATACCCATTCTGCTGTGAGCAAGGCTGAAGGAGTGGAGGCTCCTTTCTTGGTCAAGCTTAAGGAGACAAAGAATAAAAAGGCTGTGGGACTGGGAGATGTGATGGAGGGCTCTGTTTTACTTGGTTGCTAGGGAAGTGGATGTCTCAGTGTCAAACTTTGTTGGTGAGTTGAGAACTTGGAGACTGTATCAGTTAGGACTTTTTCTGTTACATGTGACAAAGACTCTTAAGCAAAAAGAGAGTGTGTTTTCCTGGATGGCTGCTGGTGCAGCTTAAGCAGAGCTTAGACTGTCGTCAGCATGCGTGGCTTCCCTTCCACCTCACAGCACTCTTCCCTCAGGCTAGCGAGGTGGCTCCAGCTCCAGCTTGCTTGGTCTCATGCTTTGGTCAAGCGAGAAACAAGGAGTCTGCTTCCCTCTAAGCTCTAACAACAGCCCCTGAATGGAGTCCCATTTGTGCCAAGTGGCCTTGCTTTAGAATATGCCCCATTCTTGAAGCAGTCTGCGTGGCCAGTGGGGAAGGACCTTAAGCCTGAGGCATGTGTTGAACTCCTGGAACAGGAGCAGAGTCAGCTGTACCTGGAACACGTGGTCTGAGAGTAGAGAAGAGATGGTTGTCCCCAAACAAAATCAGGCTACCATGTTCATAAGAAGGGAACGGGTTAATTTGTGGCAAAAACCGAGTGTCTACTCCAGAGGATAAGGAATAAAGACGAGAAGGAGGAACAGTGCAGAATTAGAATGCAGATAGCTTCCAACTTATGATAGGGCCTTGTTCTCACGACTCTGTCATAAGGCACCCCTGATATTAAGTCAAACACCTCATTTTTTTTTTAACTTTTCATTATTATTGCCTTTTATTACCAGTGTCTTTTTTTTTTTTTTTT